TAAAATAAAAATGAATAAATGAAAAAAAAAAAGAAAGTCTGTAACTCCATAGTAGCCTCAATTAAAATTATATACCATTTCCTCATTGAATTTTGCTTTTGAAAACTAAAAACGAACACCTTCGTTTTCAGATTGTGCATATTACTGAGAACGAGGCGCAAGTTTGAGAGCCATGCAGTAATCTTACGATTTAGCGCGCTTTAGTGACAATCAATCAGTGCGCAGTGTGGTTTTAAAATACACAGGTGATTGAAAAATAATTTTCTAGCAAGAATGGAAATGATAGTTCTGGGAAAAATCTTGAGTTATCCAACTGAATTTTGTATAATAAAGTGGACTCATTAAATCCTCGCGTTCTGTTATCACACGACGGACATTTCTTTAATACGAATTCTCCTTATTTTCTTTAACACTTTAACTTATTTTACCTATGCCCTTTCCATTCCTTCCTAATGAACAGTAGTTATTTATTTAAACCATCTCATTCCATCTGTCAGTCGAAATCCTGCAACGCAGTAAAATCTCGCAAAGAACATCTGAAGACCTAGAGAACACCGAGACAGAACTGCGACTTTCCAATAATTGTGTGCCTCTTTCAAAAGTGATAAATAAATATATATTTAATCATAAAAAAAACAGACTATATATTTTTAATATGATAGTATTTGTAGTGTAGAATTACCGTTTTACATTGCTGAATAGTTACTTCTAGCGTAGGACTGATAGGATGCAGTATTCACAATGAGGTTAAATAATTTACTCTTACATTTTACTTGGGAAAGACATATAAAATTATTTTTCAATAAATCGCATTTCTTTTTTAAATATGATGATCAATAAGAGACAAGTATATTAAACTATATTAGATTAAACCGTACTGGTAGCTATGACATTCGCGGGTTCATAAGCTTAATCTTTAATGCATTAGTGACAGCCTTTACCAGACGTAATGATGTGCTACTTCTTGTAATCAAAATATTAATAGAAAGTTACCAAGGAATGTATTATTACAAAATTGATGATAAAACGAGTCTTGAAAATGCCGTATATTCAATACGGTGCTCTTATTCGACGTAGATCAGAAGAGATGCAATGATGTTTAATTAACAGAGAAAGTTTCTTTCCAGAATAATGAAGGTCGCTAAATGTAATGATTTGTAGATGATATCAACCCATTATTTCACGTGTGTTTTTGCCGGACTAATGAGACATTTGCAAAAATAAGAAGGGAACTTTTCAGAATTTAAACGATTGCGACACATACGATTATGTGGGGATGATTTAATGCTCGTGTTATAAAAAAGGGCTTGAATATTTCTTTTGGAGGGGCATACACAAGTTTCAATGCAATTTCGAAGTTTTATCCGTAAAGAGAGGCGAGGATGTGCGAGCAGTTTCCACAAATCCTTCTCGCGCAGAAAGGATGTAATCGCAAAGAGCGCGTTGAAGAAAATGCATACTTGTCATTAGGAAGTGCACGTTATCGTATTTATTGCCTTAAAGCTTCAGATAAGTGTATAGTTATTTTATAGACCGTGACATTTTAGTTAAATCTCAGAATTTGCGTAAACATGGTATCATGTCACCTGCAAAACAAACTGGAGTAGTTAGGTACTAGGGAGCATGGCGTGTACGTATTTATGTTACATCTCGCACGGCCGACGTGAAGAATGACACTTTTACTGCACTTGGGTAGCAGTTAGACATTTCAATGCGAATTTCGAGGAGATGATGCACTTCATGAAGTTTTTGTTTGCTGAAGTGACCATGCAAGTAAATGATCATAAATCTGCAACTGGCGGGCAGCCGCCATCTTCTGTATAAGTTTTTCTCCTTTCTCGTGAAACCCAACTATTTTATTTTAATAACTATATGCATATATAGTTGAAATTTCTTCGAATATCTCGTCTGATACATCTGTGATATTCCTATCATCGGTTTGGAGCCACAGCGAAGGTACACACTTGTGGTTTTCATCTCTCATTTAACGTAGCAAATCGGCAAGTGCATTTCGCCCATACAGTGAATGACAGACAAGATGCTATTTCGTTCGAATTTGCCTATGAAATTCCTTCACAGAAGTGGAGAGGAAACTGTAGACTTTTGTTTTTAAAGGGCACTGTTCTAGTGCAAAGGACGGTGTGAAGTGTACGAAATAAGTGAAAGGATAGTGAAACACAGTTACCAAAGTAAGTGACTTTGGAACTCCAAATGTCCAGTACATCTATGAAAATAAGTGTAATTAATGAAATGTGGTTTAAAGTAATGTATTATAGAAGAGTGTTAGCTTCAAAGAAACCATAAATATCATTTACTTATGGTAAAATGGAGAGTTGAAGCTTGCTTACATTAATTGGTTGTCAGTTGAAATACTTACTTTGTAATTTTCTGAATCTTGGCTCTCAAGTTAGTCATCTGTAACTTTTTGTGCAGTTGTATAATTTAAAGAGACATTGCTGTTGGCAGCAACTAAATGAGAATAATTGTAGGGAAGGGTTTAAAAGAAAATTCATTCATAACCATGTAAGATTGAAATGAATAAACTTCAAGAATGTGAGGAATTGCAATTGTATATCAATATATTTAGTGCACACCAGTTTGTGTTCAGTTAATGAATTAAGAATCGCAAGTGTAGAAAAGTGAATTCTTCATTCAAGAATTTTGTGTCCATAGATCAATGTTACATTACTTACTTGCATTTTGTTTTTCTAGTTTGTGATTTGTGAAGAAATAACCTTAATGGTGAAGATTAAGTAATGGCAAATAAAGTGTTAGTTGAGTGTTTTTCTGGAATTACAGCACTAGATTTGGCCTAGTATGGACTATCTGAATTTGATTGCTTAATACTTGTAAATGATCATTCATTGTGTAGTTTCAATTCGACAAAGCTTTCCTTTTTATTCATGCTGAAATTTGCATTTACGAACCAATAATGATTAACTTTTGAATTAAAGGTGAGGTTATGTTTCTTGCTATGAGCACTACTGTATATTTAGGTTAGTAATTACAGGGAAGGGGCTTAGATTATGGAATAGGTCAAATCTAAATAAGTGATTAAGTGTGTTAAAACTGAGGAAATTGTTTACTAATAAGTTAGTGGTTTTTAAATAAATCATTATTTGACTGGTGGCAGAGAGGAATGATCAATGTTTGCGAGTGTGTGTGTGCGTGTAGTGTGTGTCAATGACACTTGTTTTTCATAAGTTACACATCCTCATTATTTTATTTACAGTTAAAATATTCATATACATGTTGATTGTATATTCTGGAGCTTGTCTTGGTCATTCTTTGCAGTACTGAGGTGCGAGGAAAGATCTTATAAAGTCCTTTCCCTAGGACTGCATGAGGCTTATACAGGCTTCTGTGATCCCCAATTAATAATTGCATGGATGGGGTAGAAATAAAGATGTAATGTAAAAATAAATGGCCCAGACAGTGCTACAGAACCTGTCTGGAAATTACATTATGTCAAAAAAGTGAATTTTTGTGTTACATATTGATATACAATTGCTGTGTAATTTTGAAAAAAGTCAATAGGGATGGGAAAATAGTGAATTGAAAATTATATTAATAACCATGCACAAGGAAAGTTAAATGACATTTGAAAATCATAAAAATATGAAACAAGTTATATATTATAGTATAGCTAATTATTCATGGTGTAATAAAAACATTCAACATTTTACTACATTTTTTCACATTTTATTTATTGTATTATTCATTACAAGTTGGCTTGTTTCATGTTCTGATATGTATGAAAATGAATTGAAACATAATTTCTATTAGTGTAAAATTAATGTAGTTATTTAATTTTAAGTGATTGTTGAGCACCTCATTAGTACCAGTTACTTTAATTAGTAAGAAAAATAACAGAGCAAGGTTAATACTTAAATTTAGACATTATCTTTCACAAGTTCTGTCAAGTGTTTAGATTTGAATTTTGTTGATACAATTACTTAAGTTATCGTAAAGTTATAACGGTAATTGCATTCTTACTGTTAGGGAGTCTTACTTCTTATGTCTTCTGATCCATCTACAATGTTGTTCTGTTTGTGATGTTAATGGAAGATTACTGACAATACTATGAATTTTAAAGAAATGTCATGACAGAACTATTTACTTTTACCGGTATAATTAATGCAGGATGTAATGAAATAGATAAACAAATTTATTGTCTGAATTTAAGAAATTGATTTGAAATTTGTCATGTAATTGTAGGAATGATTGTGTTTCTTCTAAAGAACACTGCACTGTAATTCTTGTGTTGCAGGAGATGGAGAAGAGCATATGGAATAATGACTGATGTTCTCAGGTGTCAGATGTTATATTGGGTAAGTTTGTTCAAATACATCTATATATCTTCTTTTGTGTACTTCTGTTTTGTGGTTATATTCTAACAGTAGATGGCAATTGATGTTGTCCTGACCTTTGTACAGGAAATAACACAGGGGTTGGGTGTATTTGATGCTAATAGATTAATTTACTGAAATTGATAGGTGTCATTGTGGCAAAAGATACAATTTTTTTTCATTTGAAAACTGGGCGTTCAGTGCAACATGATGTTTGAGAATTTTCATTTTTAATATTGTTGGAACATTTTGCAAAAATAATGGAAAAAAAGTCAACTAACAAACTTATCTGTGTTGGAGAAATTATATTATAATATTGTTATTTTTGCAATATTGGAAATAAACTGGAGCATTGAGGAGTTTGTTTACTCTAATGGACATGGTGATTGGTGTAGATTTAGAAAACCTACTACCTCCTAGAGAATTGGAAATATACATTTGACGTGAAAGGACAGAATGTACAGATCATTGCTGCATCACATGTTCAATACGTTATTTTGGCTTCATAACTCATTGTAGGGTGCTGTTCTTTTATCATTCACTCTTATTTCGAGTAAATATTTATTGTTTGGAAACTTTTTTCTTAGGTGGTGTGTACCAGAAATAGTAAATTAGAGTTTTGGAATAAGAATTCATAGAAGCAAATAGAGATAATAAAGGTATGTTGATATTTATTACAAAATCTTGCCTTTTGTTATTTTGAGACATGAGACATAGGAGCATTGAGGAGCTTGAATTTTAAATTTAAAATAATATTTTATTGCAATCAGAACCATTTAAATTTATTAAACACATAGAATAATGCAATGTAGACACTTCCTCTCTAAATATAGTTTTATGTACTAAACTCTCGGAATGCCCTGTATACTAAAATAATTTTTCTAAAGCATTATGTGGTTTGATTGGATTTATTTTCATAAAGAATTGGTGAAACCTAACGTGATGTCTGGGGTAGCCGATTGTACCAACAAAACCAGGTTAGAAACATTTGAAAATGAAAAAAAAATTATATCAGAGGTGAAACAGGTAGTTGGTGACAGGAATATACATTTTTGTGAACAGAAGTGTTGATTTATAATCAGTGTCTCAATCAGGTATTTTTGAATGAGATTTTATCTCTTGTCATGAAATGCGAGTAAAATGTATTGAGAGCCTGATACTCAGTATTTTCCTGTTGGATATCTTTTACTATTCTGTTCTATTTATTCTATTGTATTCCTTAAAGATTGAAAATTATTTTCTCTCTTTTTAAATGTTAGTGTTTCATTTCCTAATTTAATGTAACACTGGTATCAGAATTAAATATTCTCTACACTAAGAGAATAATGGCTTTTGTCATGGTGTTATATGGAGCTATTAGTATTGCATACAAAAGTGCAGTGTGCATCAACTCTGAATTGAAATGCATAAATGTTTGTTTAGTTTGTATTGGGTTGTAATTCTCAAATTGATGGCTCCAATTGATGGTAAAATGCCAGAAACATGGTATGAGCAGTAGATAATTGAAGATATCACATTTTTCTTACTGTTCTTTGCATATTGAACACTTCACTTTATTAATGAATATATTTATTCATTGTATTTTGACAAAATCTTGCTTTTGAAAGCCCATTGTCAATTTTACTGAGCTGTGGTTTTTGTAAAGTAGATGGTATTATGTGAAATGATGATTTTTATTTATTATTCCCTATTGGTATCTATTTGTGGAGAGAAGAATGAATGGTTTCTATAGGATCTCAGGTAGGCTAAGGCTTGCCATTAGTGATTTTTTCTATGAGACATTTGGTCAGTACACTGTCCCATAACTGTGGAATGATCTCAACGAGCTGGGCTCTCTTGGGCCCCTGGGACGTACAAGCATTTCAAATAATTATCTGGTCTTTCACCTTGCTGTAATCTGAAAATTTAGTCGTTGGGTGCGTAGTTAGAACGTAGGACGAATGGTCCAATTTCTTGAAGCTACAATAGTTCACAGCCTTCTTTACAATCTGGGCAGTATGCATAAGTACATTGTCGTGAAGAAGCTAAACACCACAAGTCAGCATACCATACCTCTTTAACTTTGCCTCCATGTTTTGTGGGACCTTGATATCTTCTTGTCATTTTCTTAACCGCTACTTTGGTCTCTTATTCTTCTTCTCCAGTGTACCAGTGGACCTTGATATCGAAAATTTAATTAATTAATTACAGCTATTCATGTGTCCATTTGTGGTCAATACTAGCATAGAAACTTTTCAGAGGACTTCACATAAAGCTTTAACATTTTCAAAATTTTCTCAAAATGGCTTACAATTTTGGGTTTTTTCTCCAATAGAGCAAAGGACACTTCAAGAACAGTGCAGGTCTATTTTTTCATTAAACTCTCTAAATTTTTGAAAATTACAAAAAGTTTGGATTGTTTTGGCATCTTCCTACAACTGTAATATTGAATATAAACTTTTTTTTCCGTGAAAGAATCTGTTCTTGAAGAATGGACATTTAAATAATGTTATGTTCAGTGTTTTGAAAATTTGGGTTTTCATGAAATAGAGGTAAAGGTACTTTTCAAACAATTATTTTCTCAAAAATTAGCTTGCATCTTTTATTTAATTTTTTTCCTGAGATATAATAAAGGATGCTTAAAAATATGGCCGAGGTGTCTATTTCATTCCTCCATATCTCCAAATACCCATGTAGAGTTATGTAAACAAGTGTCTTTGAAAGTTCTTGCTGACAGTTCCTTTATTTTTTTTCTTGTTGCACAAGACTTTGTCCGTGACAAGAGCATTGGTTTCGTGTGTCTGCACTGTCACTGGGTTACCTTGTTCTTCATCATTGTTCTCCTTTCCCAAATGAAATTCTTTTACTCAGTTTTACTGTGGAATATTCAGGAGAAGCTTCTCCATCCACCCTCTTTAAGCGTTCTTTAATTTGTTTGAAGTACAATTTTTTTTTCTGAAATCATATCATGATACTTAATTTTTAAAATTTTGAAATTTCATACATAGGTAAAGCACCTCTCTCCGCAACAATGAGTGAAATGCCAGTTGCAATTTTATAGCATTGCATCTGTGGAAAATTACACCATATTGTGGGTGGTATCCTAATTTTTGAGTGTTATCTTGCACAGGTCGGAAACTTTTGGAAATGACTCTGAACAGTTAGATAAGAAATGATAAATTAATAAGTAATAAATTAGTGTATAGTTATAACAATGTGGGAATAAAATTGTGTACTACTTTGGAAAGGAATATTTTAGTCTAATTGTAAATATTTCTTCTGTTAGCTACCAGGTATTAAATATGGATAATTAATTTTTTTTCCTAAAAAATAATTATTGTTCTGTGTTTCTTTAAGGACTACTCTCCTAATTTTTCTTGGCATTAATAGTGTAAATTAATAGTGTAATTAAAAGTTGAACAATCTGTGTATTTGGTGCATGTTTTGGGTGGTAGTGTGAGTGTTTAGGTGTGATTAAAACTAATACTCTTTTCAAAGTAGTGCAAACTGATTACTTTAGCTATGCAATTTATTTTGTTATTTGTGAAATTTATTTTTGGAAGTAATAATCATTTGTGTGGGTCTGTCTTAGTGTATCTAATTGAATCTTACTCTGTTCATTCATTCTAATCCATTTTATCCGGAATTGGATTATAGATTTATGTCTTTTGCATATCACTTCTTGTGTATTCTTCCTAACACATTTCTGTTGGTTATGATCATAATTGCTCTAGAATTGTCTTTTGTAAATATTTCTCTCAATTATGAAGATAATTTTAGATATATTTTTCTATCTTCGTGCTTTTAATAAACCTGCAGCATTTTTGCATTTTGAATGATAATTACTTTCTGGCCCAGAAAACTGTTCCCTCAACTCCAATTCTTTTTGTTTTTATTCAATCAGAGTTCATGTACAATTTCGTAATAAAATAATTACACTGAACACTTCAAACTTTTTTAACTATTCGCTTAATAGCACAACTATTGTTTTACTGATTATTATATTATTAACTTTTAGTAGATAAGAAGTTTATGCAGGAACTTGATTCGGTTATTGGAAAAGATACTTGCTGAATATAAATCATTGGTCAGCACGTTCATCTTTCTTTTTAATTGTTTTGTGTAGAAATTTATATGACTTTTATTTGGCAAGGGAATTGAATTTTACTGTTTACTTGCATGTTGATAGTATGAGTATTTATTTTAGTAATACAATAAATATTTTTCATGGAATGAATTTCATGAAGGGTAATTTTTAAAATTTAAATTTTTGATTATTGGAATTTTGAGGCTTTAATCAGGTTATTTTTATCACGAGTTGAGCTCTTTTGTATCTTCAATGTTAATGTGACTAACGATTGAATACTCCGAGAATGTTTCATTTGTTTCTTTGGATAGTGTAAAACTGAAAGTAACATTAGAGACATAACAGAATTTAAGTGGAATTTTTTTACATTCAGTGGGAAATTCAAAGTGGAAACACAGTTGTGTTCACTTTCTGGAGCATTTCCCTTATTGATCCCATTTTGGGTAAATTTAGAAAAGAACAAACAATTCTCATATAACACCAAAATAATGAAAGTGTTGTTTATATTAAGTGGATAGCGTCTTTAATGATTTATGAGCCAAGCTATGTCACTGGGTAAAGGAGGGTGAAATAGTTAAGTTTATGTCAAGCGACATGTACTAATATTGCCACGAATTTGAATAATATAAATTTCTTTTAGTTGAGAATTGGCCAAGGCATCTTGAGATTTTTAATTAACTATTTTTTCATAAAGTATGGTAAAAAAGGAAATAAACCTATTTATTTTTATTCCTTTATTTTTTATTTTTGTTTGACTAGAATATTCTTTTTTCGTCCCTGTAAATAAAAATGTTTACCATTTGAAATCCATTCCAAAATTATCAATCAGTGTGTCATATGGAGATCAGTAATATTTTGTTCTTTTAATGTTGCTTATAATTAGACTGCGATTATTTAGGTAAAGACCTATTTTTTC